AAAATGCAAGTCTTTATGTTCAGGTGAGGTCCAGTGTATAAATATGAAAGTGGAAATTTGAAAATAATCCTGTACATCTGTTTTGAATTGTCTTGGTATAAGAAAAAGTTTGATGTTAAAGCTCTTTATTTCTTAAGTAGGATATAGTATAATTCCATCTCTATTTTAAAAGAATGTGAAGTATGACTTTAATTTTCCATTTCTACCTCTCGTTTCCTCCCCCTCCTCCCCCTTTCCTTCCCCACTTTTCCCCCCTAGATCCCAGGTAAGGGGTTAGATTAATTATATTCTTGGTTCATGGTCAATTTTTAGGGTGATCCCTGCCAAGTTTTCTCTTTTATTCATCTCTCTTGTATGTCTGTATCTAACTTCATTTTACCTTTGCATCATAGGCAACTGTTCTAATGCATTTGGATTTGTATTCTTGGATTTACAATGTACACTTAACAAAATATGCACTGATATTTAGGGTGTTAATTTTTAATAATAATTATAAATGTAATTATGTCACAATACATTAGATTTTTGCTAGTAGGCTTTTACATGCAGTCATGTTACAGTATTTACATGCTGTATGTTGATTCTCATAACAATTCATGAAGTAGAACGCACATTGTACTCCCAAGGATGGACACACTGATTATTTCTTACTGTCAGCCAACACGAAGACACCTGAAGTAAACACTGTCTTACATGTTCTCATAGGTGAGAATTCTGAGTGGGAAATTGCTGATCCCAGCTTATCTTTGATTTAGTTTTGTGATTTGACTGAGTACTCTTGGATGGCATATAAAAGTGGAGGTTCCAGGTGGCATAAGGGACAGGCTGTTCCAAGTCACACTGCCAACCACAGTGCTCTGGTTGATTCTCCTACAGTTCTTGGCTTCACCTAGTCATTTTTTGCCAAGCTGTGTATAAAAGATGTCTTGCTACTGTACTTTGCATTTTGCTGGGTTAATAAGAAATTTTGTACTATTATGTTAGTTTAAACGCTTGGTGCTTATCTGGTTTCCTTTTTTTGTAGTTTCTAGTTTATTCTTTTTGCTCATTTTCTTCCTAGTGGATTTCTTACCTGTTTCTTGTTACTTGTAGGAATACCTTTTACTTTCTAAATAGAGTGCTTTCTCTTTTTAAATATTTGAAGTACATTCTCTGAGTGAATTGTGTGTTTTTAACTTTGAAGTGGCAAAGTTATAGGAGCACTTCATTTTGAAGTCTTCAAATTCATCATTTTTTTACCTTTTGAGTTTTGCTTAGAGTCCTCTTAAGGAGTCTTTTTCTATTCCACGAAGATATTCCCCTACATAGTCTTCTCTTAGCTTTACCTTTTCACGTTTAACTTTGTGAGTATCTGGAATTTACCTTTGTATTTGGTGAAAACAGCACTAAAATCCAGTTGTATTTTTCTCTTTTGTATATGGTTAGGATACATTCTTCAAGTCCCTTAATAAACAATGCTAAAATATTACATAAAATTTATATATTAATTTATATAAAACCAATGTTTTCATAGTGTAAAATTGTCCCGTCTATGAAACTTGGAATATTTCTCTGTATCTTAGCGGTTTGGCTTGGATATTTTCAAATAATGAGTCTAGTTAGATTTAAAAATTGACACGATGTGAAAAAGGCACACTGAGTAATTGGCAGGTGAATTATTTAGAAGTAGAAACATCACATAGGCAATTATGGTACATGTTTTATGTTTTATACTTTAACATTTAATATATAAAATATGTTAAAATTAGCTGGAATTGAGATGGTTTTTCAGTTCAAGTGTGATATTTTATTTTATCATTGGAATACAAAAAATGAATAGTGTCCATGAAAATAATTGTTATTTAGATGACCGTTAATAGTATTTTTTATTTCTGGTCATATTCTCTGGGATAGCTTTATGCATTTATAAGTGAGCTCTACTTTATGTTGGCATGTATTGGTAGCATTGATGAAAAATATCAATCACATTTATATTTGTAAGTCTGGAAATGCTAACAGAAATTTTCCCTCCAAAAACAAAAAAAAATCATGAGACAGTTTTAGTTTTAAGTTTGGCAACTCTTTAATGATTTTAAAATGTGTTTTGATAAACACAACACTGGGGAAAAGTTACCTATGGGAGAAGAGATTTTGAGAAGGAATTTTGATTTTGATTTGAACATGATGAAATCTTGTCATCCTATCAATGCGTAAAGCAAAAGCTCCGGAAGTAAAATAAATCAGCAGAATTGTTTCTTGCACACACACACACACACACACATACACAACAGATGAAAGGGAGCAATGGAGGAGAGGGGGGGAGAGAGAGGGAGAGAGAGAGATAGAGAACAAGAGAGAATGAGAACATGAACATTACACCGTGGAGAATCCTGAGGTCTCATATGTGTCCAGGTGCAGGATTTTGACTTTGGTCAGGTGATATTCATATCTAAATTAGCCTTATCACTTAACTTTGTTTTATTATTTATAATTCTTACCACTCCCAGAAGTTCATTCATTCATCTTATTGTACACATCCTATCTTCTTCAACCCCCTCCACTCCTCTTTCTTTTATCATAGGCTCCAAGTAGGTAACAGCTTGATTATTTGGTTTCAATATTATATGCACAACCTCTAATAAAGTTTCTGGCCCCCCAAAAATGTATTAACAAGTATTATTTAATGATTACATTTGCGAATGAATAAATGAATACAACCAAAGGAGTGGACATATCTAAATATAGCTGTATTCATGTTGACTACTGCCAAGAGCATTACTTAAGATTAATTAAGATACAGATATTGAATAGATCAATTTGCTCCTGTGGACATATGACCTAAAATATTCAAAGCAAATCATTGCTATATTTTTCCTGCATCTGTATTTTAAGTCTGTGGTTTGGGTGGGGTGGTATTAATATAATGTTTTCTTTTTGCTTAAATTAATATTTGGATGAATTTCTCTGGAGTAATTTCAATGCAAATCAATTTTCATTTACTAATCCCACAATCAAAGCAGAACTTTGTGGAGGGATGAAGTGGATTGGAAACTCACCTAGGTATCAGAAGTTTCCATAGAGCCATGCTTCATTAATTTGTTGGGGGAAAGCTAGTATATATAAAATCCATGTAGTGTTACACCTGTTAAGTTTGAAGATAATCATAACATTTTACTATTGTGTTTGCCATATTTTAACTTCCTTTTATGCATTTAGTAGTTCAACTGGACAATATTTTAAATTGGTTTACGTGTGTGTGTGTGTGTGTGTGTGTGAGAGAGAGAGAGAGAGAGAGAGAGAGAGAGAGAGAGATTGATTGTGGATGGAATCCAGAGGTGCTTTAATACTGAGTTACATCTCCAACTCATTTTTTATTTTTTAGTTTTGAGAAAGGGTCTTGCTAAGTGCTGAAGGCCTTGATAAGTTGGTGAGACTGTCCTTAAACTTGCAATCCTCCATGTGTGGATTTACCTTTCCATTTGAGTATATGATTTTCTATGGATTCATCATTTCAAGGCCTCATCCCTAATGTGTGAATGTCAGTTTGCAATAAAAGACAAATCATGATATAAGAATGTCAGATGTAGCGTAGAGTAAATTTGGAAATAGTGAGCCTTGGGTTGGAATTTCTGCTGTAATATCTCAGGATCAACTTGGCAAATTATTCAGTGCCTCTGAGTCTGCTTCCTCACCCACAGGACAGGCATTAGCTTTATGTACAGGACTCTGTAGAAAGCCTCGTGAGATGACATATATCAAGTGTGGCATAGTATGTGACATTGTTCGATGTTGGATAATGCTCAGTTCAGTGCCTTTCTTGTTTTCCATCAGAAGCATAACTTACCAAATACGAAAGATTCTTATTCTCTGCAGATAATATAAAGACATAATGACAAAAATCACATTACATTTAGTATTATTTCTATCATCAGTGCTCTATAATTTTAAATTGCAGAGCATCAATCATTATAACATTAATGATAATAGCAAATATTTATCATTTACCATTGTTCAGGCATTGTCTGAAACATCTTACTGTATATTGACTAATTTAATTCCCATCACGAAGGCAATGAGTCACTATGAACCCATTTTCCAGAGTGAACCATAGTGCTGTTGTATTAAATTATAGGCATGCATGCAATTCTGATCCTAAAAGATTCTACACTTTTTAAATGCATTAAAAAGTGATACCCTTTCGTTATTCAGGCATAGTGTATCAAATAAATTTTGATACATATAAATCTTTCTTCTTGTCTTCATCTTTCCAATGGGGGAAGAGTTTATTTTCAAGGATCAATACCCATCTCCTTGAGGGGAGAAATGACTTTTAGTATTGAAAAACTATAATTAGATGGGGAGAAAATTAAGGGCACACAGAAAACAAATGATTTTCAACATGATTACGTGTGGGGAAAGATTTTTCCCTATAGTGAACTCATTTGTTGGAAGGGTATAAAGAAACATTATATCTGAACAGACCATATATACTTCACTGTTTTAAGAAGGGTAATGTTTTACTGATACGTTCTGATGCCTATTGAGTATCTTTCTAACTTTGATCTTGTTTAGATACTTTTGCTTTTCATCTTCAGATCTTTTATGGCATTTATCAGTTTTTTCATACTAGAATGAAATCTTTGTTTATTTTAAGATGATTTCTTACAGTTTCTAGCCCAATAAGTATACAGTACTTTCAGACCATGAAGACCCCTATGGAAACTTGAAAGAGCATGAAGTCTTTGTAGGTGATCTTAAGATAACATTGTTCTTGGCCTTATGATGAACTGTATATGTATATCAGCTTTGAGACCTAATAATTGCTTTAATTATTTTTAAGCTTTGATTACATTTAATCTCCTGGCTTGGTGAAATGTTAGAGTATAAGGGAAATAAATTTTACTTCTTAAAATGTTTTATGCAGGTTTTTGTCTCCCCATGGTACTTCCTGATGGCCTGATATTATGTTATGTGTAATTGGATTGACGCTTAGCCTGAACGCTTCTTTTTCTTCTTGCCAGCATGGGGTAACCTTGGAAATGTTCTGAAGAGTCAGAGCAAAATTTCTGAAGCTGAAAGCGCCTATAGAAATGCTTTGTACTACCGCAGCAACATGGCTGACATGCTTTATAATTTGTGAGTATGACTCGCTTTCTCTGATTGGGTTCATTTTTGAAACCTGTGGTGAGAGGGACTATTGATTTAACTGCTGGAAACAGAGATGGTGATAGCTGTTTTTCTGAAATAGTCTTTTCATTAATCATGCCTCTGAGACTCATAGGTGGATAGTATTTGTGATTTCTTGGTTGGGAGCCACATCATCTATATTCATGAGTATTGATGTATTATGGCTGAGGTTTTTTGAAGTAGTATACCATATGATAACCTAAGAGTTGGTTTAAACGCTTGTAGTTTTTCACAGAGTTTGTTCCCTTAATACTGAGATGGGTATTAGGGCTCATAAAATAAGTCTTTGTGTTTGATACTTATACAAAAAAAAAAAAAGCAAGGTGAAAGTAAACACCTTCTTATTGAACTTGGTTTTCTCTCTCTTAATCCACAGTCACAGGTTATTAATAATGATGGCTTTCTTCATCATTAAGAAATTGCTCATGTCAAAGTATATATAGAATGTTTGCTTAGCCAGAGAGTTAATGAAAAAGAACATGGTAGTGATAATGGTGGTTCTTTTTCCTCTTCCTCATCCTCATCCTCTTCATTTTTTTTTTTCTTTTTGGTCTTTGAAGGTACTGATGATTATCAGCAAGATTTGGATAATGGGGTAATTTAGAATATCTGCACATTGAATTAGAAACATCCCTATGATTAATTTTGTTGTTGTTGTTGTTGTTTGACTGAAAGTCCTAGGAGCTATTAAGAAGTTTGAGCTGGTAAATCCAAACTAAACTCAAGTCCTTGTTTGGCCTCTTATCTTTATGAGAACATTTTGTTTGTTTGTAATAGAAATCTAGCTTAAACTTGCTTAGACACAAAAGAGAATTTATGAACTCCCATAACTGGGAATTCTTGGGGTTGTCTAGATGCAGGCACGGTTAAGTCCCAGTGCTTGATTATGTTCTGGGGATTTGCCCCAATTTTGTGGCTCTGGTTTTGTTCTGCTTTGTTCCATTCTCTGTGCTGCTCTGTCTGTAGGGATGAGAAGGGGCTCCTGCACCTTTATTTGTGTTACCTCCTGATTCTTCTTAGTCTTGGAAGAGAAGATAACTTTTTTGTTTGTTTTGGGGTCTGTATTAATCCTGCAAAAAGCTCTCCTGGGGTCCTGAATGTTCTCTTGCATGAAACACTGGGCAGTGTGGGAGGGACTGAGAGAATCCTCCTTTGAGAGCTTTTCAGAGTTGGTATGGGCAGAACAGATGTCTACCCACTTGTGTTTAATGAACTCAACATAATATTGACAGTATCAAAAATTTGTAAACTTTAATTTTTGATATGTATTTATACTCTGGCTACCTAATCTTTCATACTGGTTAACTCTAAAAGTACTGAAATTAAAAAAAAATAAATAAAGTCCAAATAGGAAAAGTTCTAGTTATTTGAGGGAAGGCAGAAGGAATGGTTCATTTCATTTTCTGTTCATACATTTACCCTGTCTTTAAATTTCTACTCTCAGATGGTGGGATCTCAGCCGAGGGGGCTGATTGTGTGAATTAAGTTAGCAGGTGTGCTTTGTTCTTTATTTCACACTGTTTAATTTTTCCTTTGTTACCTGAAATTCCTTCACACAGAGCAAACTCTTTCCATTTTGCATCATCCCTTCCACCCACTCAGCTGTGTTTCATGCATCACCAGATTTATTACCATCCTCTTTCCTGAAGTATTCGAATGAAAATATCAAATTAGGCTCCTGCGTACAGACACTCATGTGTTGATTAATAACTATTATACCATGACAAAGGCCCATATCAGTTTACTACACTTACACACATCTTTATACAGGAACAGTTTTTTTTTTTTTAATCTTAAAGTAATATCAAAGTGTCTCATGCTTTGCAATATTGAGTATCAGTTTTCTGATATCTATTCTCCATACACTTTCAGGGGAAAAAAAAAGAAAGGTGAAAATCAACACCTTTTTATTGAACTTGGTTTTCTCTCTCTTATCCATAGTCACAGGTTAACTTAAAAATAAAATAAAATAAAATAAATTGGGAATGCTGGGGATGGAACCCAGAGTTTGGTACATGAATGGTTAGTGCTCTGACATCCTCAGCCCCAACAACCACTGGTTAAAAAATTACCTACCTGTGGGTGGTACCTATTGTGTAGGAGGTTAAAGGAAAAGGATTTCTGTTTATTCAGATTCTTTCTTTCTTTCTTTCTTCATGAAGAAATAGTTACTAACATGATCAATTTTACCCCCTTAATTGTAGTCAATGGAATGTGTCATTAGGGCCACATATAGTTCTAATATATTTTTTCCAATATAATAGGTTTCTTTCTTTCTCTCGTGCTAGGAATTAAACCAAAGGCCTACTACATGCTAGGAAAGAACCATCCCACTCATCTACTTCTCCAACCCTCCTTTATCTATCTATCTATCTATCTATTTATGTTTTGAGACAACGTCTTGTTAAGTTCTCCAGGTTGGAATTGAACTTGTGTTCCTCTTGCCTCAGCCCCCCAAGTCTCTGGGATTACAGACATTTACCACCATGCCTGGTTCATCCATATTTCTTCTTTACTATAATCATAAATTTATTCCATTAGATAATCCCACTTCATATGTAACTTAAAATCTTCATCTGACAGCCTCATGGATCTCTATATAAACTATGAAAGCATATGGATACTGTTACCCAATCCCTACTGAAAAATACTTGATGAAGAAATAGTTACTAACATGATCAAGTTTACCCCCTTAATTGTAGTCAATGGAATGTGTCATTAGTGCCACATAGAGTTCTAATATATTTTTTCCAATATAATAGGTTTCTAAGTCACACATAATTGTCAGCTTAAATAGAAGAGGCTTAAATTTCCCTGAAAAACTGTTAGCAGTAATTCAGAAGTATTGAGTTATGTAACCTATATGGTTGACAGAATTCTGATACTCAGTTTTTATCTTCCAATGTATGTATGATTCCATGATTTTTAAATCAAATATTAATAAAATGAACAAAGATAAATCTTCTATAACTTCCAATATTAATAAGTTTGGTATTATATGTTCCTTGGAACAATTTTTTTCTTTTTTGTTTATATTGGTAGACAGTTTAGAAATTATTAAACAAATTAACAGTTTTGCTTTTAAGATGTACATGCTATTTCCATTACATAATTTGATGAACAGAAATTATTCTATGTTCTGTTTCAATTCCTAAAATGAATTTGCATTGCTCAGTCATTCTAGTAAACTTAACCTGATAATTCTCCTTTGTGGCTATACGAAACATTACTTACTTTTCTTATGATCATTTACACTTATGTCTCCTAAAGATGTTTTGTGAAAGCAGCTTGAAACTGATAAACATACTTTTAGTAACTGGTACAAAATACTTATATTTCTTAATGAAATTTAGAAGCTTTTTGGAATCCTAGTTTCTGTTATATCTTAATTTTGATCAGTAACCTAGAATTTTGGAACATATTTAGTATTCATAAGCCTATTTGCTTTGAAAATTATTGTAAAAGTTTTATATTATAAGAAATCTTTATGGGAAAAATAATCTGAAGGCATGTGTCATCATTTCACTTTAAAGCAGTATGATCACTAAAGTGAGGCACCCCATGACTGGCCAGACAGGGGAATTCTAGGTCAGAGATGATCCTCGGATTGATTCCTATATTTTGTTTTTATGTTTCTATTTTAAAGATATCATTAGCACTTCTTATTAAGTATATCTGAACATTTTAGGTGAGGAGGAAGGAAAATATAGGTGATTTGGAAAACAAGCAGTGTGGAAATTTCATAATCTTTTACAGGATGATAATACTTTGAGGAAAGTTTTTTGTTGTTGTTAGAAATTATATCAGATTATATCAGATTATATCTGAGAGGTGCATACAAAGGATTGTAATCCCTATTTATATAATATTGGAATAATTTTAATTTTTTGTTACTTTGATAGCAATTTATTTATTTACTTGGTTCTAGTAATTGAGCCCAGGGGTCATTTGCAACTGAGCTACATTTCTAGTGCTCTTTATTTTTTATCTGGAGTCTTGCATAGTTGCCTAGGCTGGCCTCCAACTTGTGATCCTCCTGCCTCAGCCTTCCAAGTCACTGAAATTATAAGTGTGCACTTTCTGTGGCCTGCATGGCAATTGCTTTAATGGCATTAACTAGTTGTGTTAATACTAGTTAATACTAGAGTATTGTGCCCAATACTCTTCTTAATTCTTTCCATGGTATCCCAGTTTGCCTTCTAATGAAGCCTACGGAATGAGGAAGCCAAGGTTCAGAGTTACTTTGTATAAGGTCACACAAATAGTGTGTATAGGGACCATTGTTTAAACCTAAGATGCTCTGATTCTGTACCCATGCAAAACTTGTATTTCTGCTCAAACGGGCAGAAACTTCAATAAGCAAGGCACAGTGGCACATGACTGTAAGTCCCTTTGCTCAGATACTTGAGGAGGACCATAAGTTTGAGGATAGCATGAACAACTTAGTGAGATCCTGTCTGAAAATTTAAAAATTAGTAAAAAGGGCTGGAAATGAAACTTGGTGGTAGAGTGTCCCTGTGTTTAATCCCTGGTATCACAAAAACAAAACAGAAGACAACAAAACAAAATATCCAAACTCTTCATGATGTATGTTCCAATTAGAAAAAAGTGTGTGTGTGTGTGTGTGTGTGTGTGTTTACTTCAAATGACTTTTAAATGTAGAAAGAAAATATTTGACTTTCAATCTACTATAATACTACATATTAAATTTTTATAATAGTTACTGAGTTTAATCAACTAGATTGTCAATGGAATTCACAACTGCATTAAGAGCTGTTTTGAAGAAGAAAGTGCTACAGAAAAAAATTTTTTTGTTTTCTTTTGTTACCAGGGTTTGAACTCAGGGACACTTAACCACTGAGCGATATCCCTAGTCCTTTTTATTTTTTAATTTGAAAGAGAATCTTATGAAATTGCTAAGGGCCCTGCTTAATACACTGAGGCTGGCC